AAAGACAACCCCCTCCTCTCCTCTCAGAAGTGAATGAATGGACGAGCTGGGAATCGAACCCAGGACCTTTCGCACAACCAGAAGAAACCTCGCAAGACAAGGCCCAGGAAATGCTAAGCGAACGCTCTACCAACTGAGCCACACGCCCTGTCGGGAGGAAAAGGTGGAGTATCACTAGTCAGGAGTGGAGACCCCTGTGATGGGGATGGGAGGGTAGATGGTGGGTTTATCAAGGCCGTGCCCGAGCCGGTGGGTGGGTACTACTCTATTTCATGGGGAGAATCCACGGTGGGAATTCAAGATGAGAAGGGACGGGGAGAAGGGATGGGGTGGTGGTGGGATTGGTGCAGGTGCAAGCTGGAGAGGGTTGGATGCGATGGGATGGGTATAGCCCCAGAGCAGATGGGCACAATAAACATATGTACCCATACACAAGACAGACCGACATGACCCCCAACGGGGGGGGGGGGCGGACGAGCCCGCCATTCAGAATGCCTGCTACCTCAAGGTTCAACCAGAGATGCCAAGAAAAAAAGCAGAGGAGCACCGACCCAACGCCTCCATATCAACCCCCCCAGACCCAAACCAAGCCAACCCGAGACCCAAACCCAGTCCAAGCCAAAGTCCGTCTCCTCACAAACGCCTTTGATGCCATGTATACCGCATGTGCAAAGAACCCGAGCTCACCAAAGCAAAACGCAAACTGCCAGGTGAAAGCAGAGATGTCGGCGCGGAAAAAGAAAGGAGGAAATAAAACATAGTCGAAAGGAAAAGAAAAGAAAGAAGGAAGAAAACCTGCATAGGGCAGGGGGTATAATAGATACTTCCGCCTCGACGCCAACGTCAAAAACAAACCTGACGCAAATGACCAAGCTGTACCCCCACTTATGTCAGCCAACCTCCCGCTTCCGCTTGAGCCCACCGTCCGTCCGCCCCTGAGCCTGCCCCTTCGGTAATCCCAACCCCTTGGGCCATGCCATCATCATTGCCAGATTGGGCGGGGGAGGCAGAGACCCAGATGGACGCCTTATATCCATGGGAAGAGACGACGCCGGAGACGACTCAGACGCGCGGGGTTGCCCGTTCACCGCCGGCTTCGGAAGCAACGCCGGCGACGCAGAAGCTCGGGGTTCTCCCTTGACGATTGTCTTTGGAACGGACAGTGGAGAAGGTACTGAAGACGCAGAGGTCCCCGGCGCACCATTCGCCATCATCGCCTTCGGGATGACCGACGGCGAGGCAGACGTAGATGCAGATGCCAACGAAGAAGCTCTGGGTTCTCCCTTTACCATGCCCTTCGAAACGGACAGCGGAGAAGGGACAGAAGAAGACGCAGGTCTCCCCGGCGCACCCTCCGCCATTGCCTTTGGAAGGACCGGCGGGGATGCAGACGTGGATGCTGAGGTCGGTGCCAACGTAGCCGCTCTGGGAACTCCCTTCGACATTGCCGTCGGCAAGGAGGTTGGGGGTGGTACCGAAGATGTAGGAGCCCTTGATACACCGTTCACCATCGCCTTCTGAAGCAACGCCGGCGATGCAGAAGCCCTGAGCCCTCCCTTTGCCATTGTCTTCGGAACGGAGAGTGGGGACGGTACCGAAGAAGATACAGGACCCCCCGGCACACCCTTCGCCACCGCCTTCGGAACGGACAGCGGAGATGGTACTGAAGAAGACGCAGAAGCCCCTAGAAATTCGTTCACCGCCACCTTCGGAAGCAACGCCGCCGACGTAGAAGCTCCAGATCCCCCCTTAACCACCGCCGTCGGAACGGACCGCGGAGACGGCACTGAAGAAGACGAAAACCCAGAAACCCCCGGCACACCCGTCACCATCGCCATCGGAAGCACCAACGGCGATGCAGAAACAGACGCAGACGCGGACGCAGAAACAGACGGAGACGCCCACGCAGCGACAGCCGCAGACAACTGCGGCGACGACACTACCGGCCTCATGTTATGCGCGCCCGCGACCGCCACGGCAGCGGCCACGGCGGCCGTCATGGCCTCGGTCGGGTACGTAGACGGCGAGTTTGAACCTTGGGCAGCTTGGATTTGTGCTAGGGCCTGAGCGCGGGCTTGGACGCGGGCGCGGGCTTCCGCCTGGATCTGCCCCATCCTCATGGCCGCTATCTGGTCCTGGGCGTGTCCCATCTGCCGGAGCCGCATGGCCGCTATCTGGGTTTGAGCCTGGGCCTGCATCCGCTGGTGGTAGAGCAGCTGCGTGTTATTCTGGTTTCGTGCCTGGCTCATCGCTGGGGGAGGTTGAAGTAGTGGGTTAAGCCGCGGCGGTTGAGCGTTCTGTTGCTGCTGTTTCTGGGCCGCTTGTTGCTGTAGCAGATGGTGCTGGGCCATTGGTTGCTGTAGCAGCTGTTGCCGTACCGCTTGTTGCTCCATCAACTGCTGCTCAGCGGTTCGTCGTTGCTGCTGCTGCTCCTGCCGGTCCCTCGCAGCATTAACGGCGAACCAAGTCTCCAGAGCCTGCATCGTCGGCGGCCGGTTATTGCGCAATATGGGCAGCGAGGGACGGCGCGGCTCAAGGCCGGCCCCTCCAACGCCAGCATGTTGGGGCCACCCCCGCACGTCGGCCGTCGGCACGCTGTAAGATCGAGAAACCTACGCTCGACCAGTGACCGACGGCCGCCGCTGCGGGGGGCCCCCAAGACTGAAGCTAGACGACCGCCGCGAGAAGTCGCCGCCCATGGCGGCAGGATCCGGCTCGCCCGGCGCGTCCTCGTAGTCAAATAGGCCGGGATGCCCATCCGGAAGACGCTGGGCGCCAAAGCCGACGACCTTGAAGATGTTGACGCGGCCGCCGTTTGTCGCCGTCTGTAGCTGCTCGTGGAGGCGCGCGAGTTGGTACTGGCGCTTGGTGGGCGCAAACACGGGCTGCGGGACAACCGGTTGTGGGTTCCAGTTGGCGAGGGCGCCCATCACGGCAGCCGTCTCCTCGTCGCTGTCGACCGCCGCCTGGTTGGCCTCGTCCTCGTCCTCCAAGGGCGCGTTGGCATCGATGGCGGCCTTCTGCTGCTTGGCCTGGTTCTTCTTCTGGTACGCCGCCAGCAGCATGTCGTATGGCAGGGACCGGCCGGGCACGGCTCGCTTGGCGCTCATGCTGTGGCTCTTGCATGTGAGTGAGCGCGCGCAGGGCTGGCCGTTGGGCAGCAGCACACCGCACTGGCGCTCAACATCGACGGGGCCTTTCGGTTTCGCGGCCTTGGGCTTGGGCTCATCCTTCTTCTTCTTGGCCTTGCCCTTGTCGAGCTCGCCCTCGGCCTTGCGCTTCTTGCCAGAGACATTCGTCTTCTTTGTCTTGCCGGCCGTCTTGCCGCCGGCGTTACCGTCTTTCGGCTCGTCGTCGTCGTCGCTATCGTCGTCGCCGCGGCCGGCGCCGTCGCCCTCGGCCTTGCGCGCCTCCTCCTCCCGGGCCGCCTCCTTAAGTCGCTCGCGGGCCTCGCGGGCCTCCTTCTTGCGCTGGGCCTTTTCCTTCTTGATCCTCAGGCAGCGGGCGACGTGCTCGGCGCCGGCCGACGGCGTGATGACCTTCTTGCAGTGCTTGCACTGAAACATGTCGAGGGCGTCTTCGAGCGGGCGGCCGGTGTGGAAGTTCTCGCGCGAGGCGTCGTCGAGCTGGATGGTGACGGGGCTGGGCGAGGCGGCGGTGATTGCGTTGTCCTTTGATTTCTTCTTGTCATCTGTGGTCGCGCGCGGGGATTAGCAGGCGCGGGTTGGAAATGCTGCTGGCACTGCAATGAGGGTTGAATGCGGCGAACCTTCGAGGACGTTGGCCTCTTTCCAGTTGCCGGGCTTGGCCTGTTTTGGCGGGGCCTTTCTGAGCTTTATTTTGCCGAATGCTTGGGGCCGCGAGGGGGTGACTGATTTTTTGGTCGAGGCGACCTTGATGGTGGCCTCCTCATCTGTTGCGGCGAGAAAAGTGTGGTTAGCAAGAGGGCACCAAGTTGGCCGACTGCGGGGAGGAGGGTGGAGGGAGGGCGTCGCGTGCGAGAGAGCAGCCATACCCTTGCGCGAATCCATCGTGGCCATCGCGGAGCAGCGGCCGTGGTATCAAAAAGGTGTGTGCATTTACGAAAGGACACTAGAGAGAGCGCCGGGAGGGCACAGTCACGGGCAACGGACTGGTGCTGCCCATCTCAGGCGGTCCTTTGTTGAATGTGTCTCCCGGTGTTGCACGTCGGATGGAAGACGGCAGTGGAGCCTGAGCCGACTGGAGCGACGCCCAGTCAATTGGCGCGGTCGCGAAGGTGGAGCACTGAGCACGTGGTGGAATCCAAAGCTGCCAAGCTGCCAAGGTTAGGTACCAATAAGCAGTTATCCGGGCAGTGCCAGGCCTAACCCTTGCACATGTATAAACACACAAAGTATATGCGATTCTGGGGTGAGCAAAGCAAGGTCTTGAAATTCACTGTCAATGTTCCTTTCCCTCTAGCTAGAAAATGCCCGTTTGTTCACTCAGGTCACTGCAGCCCTGTTTCTCATTTCTCGTTTCTCATTACCATCCCCTCGCTCTGTTGAAAGCCACTAAAAAACCCGTCCATGTGGCCCTCCGCTCCCATTACTGCCACAGCCTCGGAAAAAATCATAAGAATGTCGGGAATGTCGGTACGGGTTGTTGCCCCCTGATCTCCGCTAGTTGCGACGGCCGCGCGGGGGCCGGGAGCGAGACTTCGATGAAGATGTTTGGTTGGAACTGCCCTGCGCACGTCCGGAACCCGACTGACCATCAGGGCGGGGGCGGCTGGGCAATGCCGTTCCCGGAAAGCCAGAGCCCTGGGAGTCAAAACCTTGAGACTGAGAGCCGAAGCCTTGAGGGCCAGAGCCTTGGGGGCCAGAGCCTTGAGAGCGAGAGCCTTGGGAGCCAAAACCTTGAGGGGCAGAGCCTTGGGTGCCAAAGCCTTGAGACCGAGGGCGAGGGCCTTGAGAGCCAGAGCCTTGAGAACCAGAACCTTCAGAACCGGAGCCCGGATTGCCAAAGCCCGGATAGTTGGGACCGGGATAACCAGGGCCCGGATACGCAGGACCGGGATAACCAGCACCGGGATAGCCGGAGCCCCAATAGCCAGGATAGACAGCTCCCGGATGGCCAGCGCCCGGATACAAGTGCCGCCACGGAGAGTCAAAGTAGGTACCGGGA